CTCAGGTAAGGTTCCCTGCTGAGAAGGCGAGAGAGCTCCACCTGCTGCCGGAGCAGGGACTTCTCCACCTTCTGTAGGACAATGAAAATGATGCCTGCACGACTGCTCAGAAACTGCCAGGTCTGGGCAATCTCATACTCAAAAATACACCATCGGCTCTGGATGAAGTGCTGGGACACCACGACGATAACCTTTCGGCTCTTGTGGAAACCTTCTTGGATGATGTTGGCAGCAATGGCCACACCAGGAATAAAGTCTCTGTAGTGAAGGCAGAGCTGAAAGGGGGGCACCCCCTCCTCCAAGTTCTTTACCAACTCATTCCTCACCCAGTCCTCATCCTGGCTTGAGTAAATAACAAAGGCATCATAGATGCTTTCACCTCTGCCATACTTTTTGCAGCCAGCAAGAAGCATCAGGTGGAAATAGAACTTATAAACCAGAACTGCTACCACAGATACCACAAGTACAGTGAGAACCGACACACTAATGACAGTCTTGCTCATCTGACAGGTGGCATTTCTAAAACTGAGTACAGGCACACCCTGCATATCTAAAGGTTTCACACACACCATTTGTGTAACTCCCACCAAGAGGTGCCTGTGGTCCTTGACCCACTGCAGAAAACTCTGGTGTTCACAAATGCAAGCAAAGTCATTCCCAGTGAGATTTAAGGAAGTTAGATTACTTGGAAAATGCTGTAGTTCTTGCCTATTGGAGGCCACTATGCGATTAAAACTGCAGTCCAGATCCTGGAGAGAGTGGGGAAGTTTATAAGGAAATAGATCCAAGGATAAAAGGTGGTTGTGACTCATATTTAGTGACTTAAGTTTAACGAGTGAGCCAAATGCCGCCTGGGACACTCGTTCTAGCTGGCAATTAGAGAGGTCCAGGAAGGTTAAGTTAGTCAGCGCTTTGAAGATATTTGGAACGGAGTTGTCCTGAAAAGAATTGCCAGCCATTTTCAAGACTTCGAGGCTGAACAAGCCATCAAAGATGCCATGGAAGATGATTCGGATGCGAGTATAAGAAATATCAAGGTAAAGTAGGTTTTTGAGTGATAGGAATACCGAAAAATCACTGGCCTGTTTCAAATTGGAATGCTGGAAATCCAGATATTTTAGTTGCTCTAAGCCCAAGAAGTTTGAGCTCATGGTAATAACATCATTAAAGCTCAGATCTAAGTGTTTCAGTCTAGTTGTCCCCCAAAAAGTGTGAGAACAGCAACTCTTGAAACTCAAACCATTTCTACTGAGATCTAGAAACTCAAGTTTTGGTAGTTTAACTTCAGTAAAAGTGCTCATACCCCTGTTGGCAGTGAAAACCAACTTTTTGAGAGAGTCAAGTTCCAACCTGGGAAAATGATCAAATTTAGAGTTAGTCAGTTTTAAGTGTTGCCATTTGAAATCTTTAGAAAGGACTTCTAGCCTGTTTAAATACAGACTCACCAGAGAAATTGTAGAAACATTTGCCAAACAATTAAAAAAGTTAATAACATCCTCTGAGAAGTCATCGAAGTATGTCATCCGGAATTCGTCAATGGTCAAATTGCACAGTCCCTCCATGGCAGATTTGTCAAAATGTTTTATGGCTCTTTCATTTTTAAATTCTCCTAGAACCAAACGATTGATTTTTAAGCCAGCCAGGCCTTGAATACAAGTTTTCATTACATCTGTACTGTTAAAATTACTTCTCAAAGTTAGTTCATGGAGCTTAATTTCTTTAAAGGCACCTCGTTGGATGAAGTCTAAAGGGTTCAGGGACAAGTCTAAAGAGAGTTTGAATGGGGGCATTTGATGTAGAACCTGTAGGTCTTTATGACAAATAGTTTGGATCTTGTTATTGGAAAGGTCTAAGTGCTCCAGGTTGGACAGGTTAGAAAAATATTCAGGTAACTTGAAGGAATCAATAAGATTGTGAGCCACATTAAGCTCCTTCAAGGTTTTCAGGTGTCCAATGGGGAAGTCCTCTAGAGACACTAGGTTTATCTCCACAGCCACCAGTGTCTGTAAACTTGATAGTCCAGAAAAGGCTCCCATGGCTAAACTCTGGATAGGGTTTCCTGTCAATATCAAGGTGGAGAGATGGTTTAGACCCTCATATGCATCATCTTCAATCATCTCAATTTCACACCTACAGGGAAAAGGATACAGATTATATAGTATGTCTGCTGAATAGAAAACCCAAAATGGAAAAACAGCCCTCAGTTATCTAGCTCTTCATATGGATTTGACATGTCATATGATTGTGCATAGGCAAATACATCGAATGGGGCTGAACAAATAATAAACTTCACAGCTTTGGTATCATCATACTATCCATAATGATAATCTCTCTCTCTCAATTAATCTCTCTCTCAATCAATCTCTCTCAATCAATCTCTCTCTCTCTCTCTCTCTCTCTCTCTCTCTCTCTCTCTCTCTCTCTGTGTGTGTGTGTGTGTGTGTGTGTACACACACTAAACAGAGACAGTACATTTATCAGAAACCAATCAGTTTAAGATCAATAACTGGGGCACATAAAGACTATATGACTGATGGAGTATGTAACAGCCTTGGATCAACTTTAGCTATTCCCTACCACAAGTGAGCATGGTCACAGATCTGATTGGTACAGATGATACAGATAGTTGTTATTTGTTAGGCATGATAAATGACTGGTGAATGTCAATTTCAAAGATAAAAAGAAATTACGTATGTGTCACAGAGACCCTTAATGCTGATAAAAAGTTATCCTTATATGATTGCCAGATATTTGAAAGTTGTCATTATCAGAGGTACACGTTAATAACAGATGATAGGAATGAGTTTTGTGGAAGAAAAGTCTGCTAGAGTTGACATCAAGGGAATGGACTTAGATAAAGGAGATCAAAGCAGGCTTCTCTAAGAACAGTTAAGATGAAATCTGGAAGATGAGTAGGAATTAAAAAGAAAGGAAGTGAACAGAAGAGCAGATACAAAAGTCTCAAGTTAGGCAGCAGCTGTCATACATGGAAGAACCCTGAAAAACATCTTCTGTGTCCGGAGTACAGAGAGAGAAGTGGAGAGGTATCAGATGGAGTGGTGAAGAAAGGAGGTTACAATAAGACCAAGACTTTCAGACTAGAAAAAGTACTTTGAATTTCACCCCCAGTGAAATGGAAGCCATGCTATATACAATGTTCATAGAGGTATCCTACCGACAAGGCTCTTATCCAGCCAACAAACAGTGAACTAATGGTAAACTCTTGCTAGCACTGCAAGTGCCTGCCAGTAGGGTTTGTAAATGAGTGCTTTCCTAGTACACCCTGAATCACATTTGCAATGCTCCCCACTCGCCTGATCACCCTTCAGGAAGTTCATAGGTAATAAAATCTTTCCTATCCAAGCTTTTATAATTGATGGGCAACTTGATAGATGGTGGTGGGTGCAGTCAAAAGAACAATGGAAGACAGAGGCAAGACTTCCGGTTCTGGAGTCTCTGCTTGTCCTTTCATACCGCGTGAACTTGGCAACTCTTTTTCCTCTACAAGCCTCAATTATCACATTTCTAAGTGAAGCAACTAAAGTTGATTATTTCTCAAGTTGCTTTCAGTAATATGATTTTATAGCTGATAATCTTATGTATATATCACTCTATGCATCAGGCAAGACTAAAAGGGTCTTCCTGTGTCTCTGTTCTGTCAAAGCATGCTCATCACTTTAGAGAAGTGGAATGCTAAGATGAAGAAAACATTTAACTTGGAAGTAGGAGATGTGAACTTGAATCTCTGATCCACTGCCAACAAGCTACATGAATGTAGATAAATCACTTAAACTCTCCAAGCCTGTTTATT